GGGATGAAGGTAGGTAGGATGAAGCATCCCTCATATAAGGACTCCTACTTGGGAGTATCCCACCTACCTTCATCCCACCTTTGGAGCCATTTGAGGTTTTATGGTATAATGACGGTTTAGGGTTTAGGGTGTAGGGTTTAGGGTTTGAACTACAGGGAACCGTAGACTGATTTAACGAAAATCTTCCTCGTGGGGTTTGGGAGCCAGGATGGAGATTGCAAACAAGTCTAGGGACTTGGGTGAAGCATCCATTGACTCAAGCACCAGAAGAGGGCTTTAGGTACTTTCGCGGCTTGTATACATAACCCTAAACCCTAAACCCTAAACCATAAACCCTAAACCCTAAACCCTAAACCGTGAACGTTCAGGGTTTGGCTGTCTACCGCGAAGGGTTTAGGGTTGCTGGTTTAGGGCTCGGAGTTTACGGTTCCGGGCTTGGGGGCCCTAAAACCTAAAGTTTAGGGTTTAGGGTTTAGGGTCCCTGGATGTTGAAGGCTGAAAACCAAAAGAGTTAAGTGCTTCAGGTCTCGACCATGGCTTACACAGTTTTGAGGCCTAACGACCTTCCTAAACTCTGGGTGCATGGGCTTTTGGTTCGGGCCCCCTGAACCCCAGGCCCTATATCAGTTTAGGCAGTTTGGGGTTGTATTAAGAAGTTTAGGATTCAGAGTTTCCTAGACCCCCCAACTACCCTCGAATATACCCTAAATACCCACTATTAAATGCCGTAAGGGCTCTATTAAAGGGTACTTGGGGGGTCCTGGTTGGCCCTCAGTTTAGGGTTCAGCTGTATGGAGAGATGGCCAAGACAGTGACGAGGCTCTGCCACGAGCCAGCTACTAGCTCAATATGAAGATGTCCAGGGGAGGCGAAGAATTGCAAGAAAGCTCACCGGTTAAGGGTAGAGGGTGTGGGGTTCAAGGCTAAGGTTAGGGTTTAGGGTTTAGGGGTTGGGGTAGAGGGTGTCTGATGTCGGGTTTAGGGGTGGGGCTCCAATCCCTAAGTCCCAGACGCCTAATTAGACCCGAGAAGTGTAGCTCGGTGCTCAGCCCTGAACCCTAAGTGTAATCCTACCTTAAACAAGTAACCTATCTTTTCTTAAAGGCTTAGGCCCTAGACGCCTTAAGGACCCTGTAGCAAGGTCCATGGAAGCCTAGGGTTTACCTTAACCCCAAGTAACCTACCTTTTCAAGGACTTAGATAAAGAAATCATATTAGGAAGCCTTAAAAAGGTAGCTTCCTTCGGGTCCAGGTAGGCCCTAAACCCTATATGCTTTGCTTCCACCCCCACGGCCCTCAAACCCAAAGCCCAACGGAAGCCCGACATGTACCATACACCCCAATACCCATTTACTTAGGAGTAAGGGTTAGGATTTAGGGGTTTGGGATGTCTTGAATATCCAACCCCAAGTTCAAAAGAACGATATAGCACCCTCGCCTTAGCCCCCAGCTAACGAGTAGCCAGGGAATCCAATGTCCCTGAATCTGAATTCAGCAGTTTTAACAGAATCGCGGACAAGGCGCGCTTATAGGATGGGATTCAGCCGGGTTTACGATCAGGCTTATGGCTTATATTGTTTTTAGATTAAGGGCTGCAGCATGAGGGTTGTCCGGGCATAGTAATTCCACGGTTAGGGTTTAATTTAAGGTGGTTGGTATGGGGATTTCACCCTGGCAACGCTCTAGCGAAGGGCAAAGGGTCTCAGAGCCGTGCGATACTGGAGTTGTACAGTTAGTAGGGCGCAGGGATTGGAATAAAACCCTAAACCTAAGAACTACTGAACCAGAACCATATGATGTTGATTGCTAGAATGCCAACACCTTGGAATATAGAACCTATGAATTTTCGAAAGCCGTAAACCCCACAAAAAACCCTAAACCCGAATTCCTAGGCTATGAGCACTCACCCGGTGTTCCCTTAAGATCCACCTACTCATTGATCATATATCCCCTCAATGCCCTCACCTACAACATTACGCTATCCTGCAAGCCAAGTACTCTACTTGCAGGATGACGGGACTTAGTATGTAAGGTTATATTATAAGTACTTGAATCGGAGCTGTAAGTACAAATATAAGTGTAGTTACCTTATTCATCGCCCTACTTGCTAAGTCCGTTGATCCTCAAGGTATGCATTTTGCGGTCCTTGGTACCCGGATGGCTCTCCCCTGGGACAGGAGGCCTAGAACGTAGCAGAAACGCAGCGGCTACTCTTCGTAGCGCTGCAGCCAAGAGCCGGAACGGCGAGGGCTTCTACCCTCAAACCCTTAACGGTTTAGGGTTTAGGGAAAAGGGTTAGGGTATAGGGTTTAGGGTATAGGGTATAGGGTTCTTAGTCCTGAAACCTTTCTTATTCAAGAGCTCCCTATTCCAAGATTCTCATGGGACGCACAGCCCGGCGCCCGTGGGAGGCACCCAGACTATACTGCGTACGGTCGTTAACGCTGTGTTGAGCCCGAGGGTTTGGGGGCTAGGAATTAGGGGCTGTTTTGAACCCTAGCCTATTGCCTTAAGGTTTTGAATGAGGTTTTAAACTATTGCACTTCTAACAAGTCTTGCTGAGTCCCATGATCCTTCAGGCAGGATTTAAGGTAAAGAGGTCTAATGAGAACAAGGGCCTAGTATTTTGATAGTGATACTGTTACTACAAAGGATCCTCCAAGGGTTCCACATGGGTGACGGCAAGTTTTACAGAGTTCAAAACCCTAAACCCGATAAACCCTAAGAGGCTTTGAGGCTCAAAGCCTCAGTCGGTTTGAAGCTTGACCGAAGCGACTTCAACAGCCCTATGGACCACTCTCCTTGATTGAGGATCCGTGTTCGGGTCCGGGGTTAACAGGTTTAGGGTTTAGGATTTAGGGCTCAGGATGTAGAGTTTAGGGTTTAGGAGTTAAGGCCTATAGGATGTAGAGAGTTTAGGGTTGAGAGTTCAGGGTTGAGGATCCGCTGCTGCACTTTTCGGGTGGTACTGTATTAGGGTCCCCTAGTTTTGGAAACTCCCATTTACAAAGGCAAGACGCGCATTTTGTATCACACTCTTGTCGGCTGCTCTGTCAGAAGCGGATCGAGTTCTGAAGAGGTTCCTGAGCTCACCGGTGCGACGATGAATAGATAACCTTCACCACAAGCCCTAAACCCTGAACCCATGACCGATAACATTAACCCCCTCCCGCCACAAGCAGCACTTTATAGTAATTAGAAGCCAGAAAGTTGGAACATTATTAACCTCATGCCCTTAAGGTAAGGTATATAAGGGATCCTAGCACTAATCCTCCTAAAGCCATGTTCCAACTTTCTGGCAACTACGATAGAGCTCATGGGAATGCGTACGTAGTGATTCAACAACACACTTCCATCCTTCAGTTTTACTCCCAACCTCAACGACTAAACTTCAACGTGCCCTCAGGGTCCCACGAACCTTATTGTTGCCACTCGACATCTCGTATTCAACGCGGAGCATCCTTTTGATGATATCCGTCTGTTGCTATATACCCAGAGAGCCCAACAAGACTTTATCAAGTTTTCGAAGCTGAGAATGAAGAAAAAGACTCCCTACAGGGCTCTGAGGCCATGGTGGCAATTAACAACTTTCGGAGCAGAGAATAAGAACCTTCATCAGGAAACCCGAAAAGTTCGGGTCCTAAGGCTTTAAGGTCCTGGCTAACTGAAACATCGTGAAGACAAGGTCTTTGCTTTTGGCTTCCAGGGTTCCAGCGAAGCCAGTGTCATTTGTCAACAGTTTGTCGGGCAAATTATGTCCTTCTTAACGGACGGTTACTGTAAGGCTGATCCGCCCCGCAAAACAATGTACAGCTGTTAGGGACGATTTTCTGCAGGGGTTCAGGACTTGTAGGATCTGCATTGCTCTGACTCTCCAATGACTCCCTACCGATGCTACTTTTGTGTGGAGCTGTTGACTTTGTGGTCTCGATCATGTTTTGACGCGGAACCCTGACCGCAGGGTCCAACACCTTAAGCACCTTAGAGTCCTATATCAAACGTTGTTTTCAATAACCCCTTGCAGTCTTGATGCAGTGCACATAAAAACTCCGAAGAACACTGAAGACAAATCGAGGTCACCCAAACCGAGCGAGGGGAAGTGAAAGTGGAAGCGCAGCTTGTCGCGGCGCACTGGTGGGAAGACGACCTCGCAGCCATCCGAAATTCGCGTTCTATGTGAACTCGACGGCCAGCTACACCTATAAGATGCTCGCCGCTCGCACCCAAAATCTCACAAACTCGTAACCTCTCAAATTCGATCGCCCGTGCACCCTTAGCCCCAAGCGCAATGAAGATCTACGGCATTTCATACGGGACGCTGAATACACCAAGGGAGTAATCTTGATGCGGCCTGGGGAAGCACCCGAACCTGAATCCCCAGAAGTCCAAGATCATATTGCGAGATACAGTACTACTGTATACTTTATCAAAGTTATGCTCTTTGAAAAAGGAAGGTTATATCAATGTGCATTTTTGCAGCCAAACCCTAAACGCCTAAACCCTAAAACTGAAAATCCTGTCCTATGACACTCGCACGGCAATCTCCCCGAAGCCCTGTAGCGACCGGTTGAAGTTGCAAGGGTCTAGAAGTTACGGGTCTAGGGTTTATGGTGTAGGATTAAGCATCAAAAGTGAGAAGTATACATGCTCATCCAGCTAGGAAGCTCGATAGTAGGACACTTAAGTCTGTCAGCCCCTTGAACCCATAATGAAACAAGCAATCTTGTTCAGAGCCCCTTGTGGGTATTGTATGTCCCACTATGACACATTCTATTTGAGCACATTGTGTCATATTTTGCTTGCTCGTTTTGTACTGCATCATATTCAGAATTACGCTACATGTATTCATATTACAGTCTACAAGGTTTGACTATAATACTACCCTATGCTATACTTCATTGTAGACTATTCTGTATTTTACTGTCGTCGATTGTGTTTCACTAGACGGCATAGTACATGATATCATGCCATATTGCACGATGTTCTATTGAAACATATTATTATGTCAAGCCTTGCTCTCTTACCTTATCGTATCGCATGTCATGTTGTTGGAACTTCCGCACTTTCTTGCCGGCCGGCTTTCTTGTTTTCTTCCACACTGAGCTTGCGCTACTGATGCGAAGCTTGAGGTTCATGAGCTCTGTTCGGCCCACCTTCTTGCCCGCGCCGGTGCTCTCGAGACCCATCTTCTTCAGCTTTGCGGCAGTCCCGGCCGGAATCGCGGTATCGTTCTTGCGGGTGATATTCGTGCCGTACACGTCGAGGCGCGGCCCGCCCTTTGCGAACACGCAAGGAACTCGGCCATCTGTCTCGGCAGCCTGTGGCCTGAACCATGTCGAAGCAAGGGCAAAATGGGACGGCAAAACGTTCAACCCGGGCCTAGACCCCCCCAACTTCCCTCTATTACACCTTAAATCCCCACTATTGAGGGCCATAAGGGCTCTATTAAAGGGCGTTTTGGGGGTCCGGGTACCTAAACCCTAGCCCCAAAACCATCCTAAACCCTGAACTAAACCCTGACCTTGTTAAACCCTAAAACCCTAAAAGGGCCTGTAGCAAGCTGAACAAGAATGTAGCCGAAGCCAAACGGCCCAGCCAGCTGATGGTGTCGTTCCTTTGAACCAAGGTTTAGGGTCTATAGAGTTTGGGGGTTTGGGGGCTAGGGGTTTAGGGGTTTAGGGTCCAGAGTTTTTGGGGTTTAGGTTTTAGAGTTTAGGGTGTAGAGTTTGGCGTTTTGGGTCATGGGGTTTGGAGTTTGGGGTCTAGCTTGGTCTTTGGGGTTTATCTTTCCAGACCTGTTTCCGTGCTCACTTCTCTACTCTGTTGTGTGACTTCTCCTGCGTGTGTGCTTTTGGCGGCTGGTTGCTGTTAAGGTACAGTAGAAGCCAGAAAGTTGGAACATCAATATCCTCATGGCCTTAAAGGTAAAGTATAGGGGATCCCAGCACTAATCATCCTAAATCCATGTTCCAACTTTCTGGGGTTCACTATCTAGGATACCCAGTAACCTAAGAATAAAAAGGCCTCTCTTTTTGGTATTGGGTAACTTTAATTTATAAGGAACCTAGGACTACAAAAAGGGAATAAGGGTACTACTGGGCATCCTAGCTATAGGTCTGTTGGAGTTCAGTACTGGTTGTTCACAGGAGCCTTAGCGGCTTTACAAAGCTTGACACAGGGGGTTACAAGGGTTTATGCGGATTTGTAGAGTTTTCAAATTTGCTAAACCCTAAACCTCTAGGGTTCGGGGCTTTGGCTTCAGACAGGGGCTGTTGCTTGGTGATGAGGTTTGGGCCTGAAGTCATTAGTTTGGTGGAATAACAAGATTGATGGGCTTCGGGTTTAAAGTTTACTTCTGGCATCCTGTGGCACAAACAGAAGTGTCAAAGGAGTTGCAAGGCGCAAGGCAGCCTACGAAGGTAGGGTTATTCGGCTACAGGTAGGGTTCGGGCACTGTAGTACCCAGAGACTCCAATATCCCTTGATTAAGGAATATTTCCTTAAGTCATATTAGGGATCCTATCATAATTTAAGGTATATTCCTTAATTAAGGGATATTAGAGTCCCCTAAACCCTATAGATCCCTTATAGATCCCTTAAAGGAACCCTAACCCTAGGTTCCTTAATTAAGGGATGTTGGAGTCTCTGGGTAGTTCGACATCCGAGTTGGCAGCTTCTGCAGGCTCGGGCTCTGGGTTCAGGGGGGTAGGGGTTTAGGGTTTAGGGTGTTTAGGGGTTTAGGGGGGGGGTAGGTTTAGGGGTTTAGGGTTTAGGGGTGAAGGGTTTTTTTTAGGGTTTAGGGGGGGTGGGGGTTTAGGGTTTCACTGTCCGGGTAGATAGTGCTTCTGTTAAACTTGGTACTATGGACAACGACACCTACTCCAAGGCTCATAGCAATGCGAAAGCAAGTTTTCCACCACACTACTGTAAGTACCCTACTGTAAGTACCCTGAGTGCTTAAAGAGTCACAAACTCGCAGCCGAGAAACACGATGTCGTTGATGTGCTGATGGACCTTCCGATGGGTTTATTGTGACGATCGCATGGAACCGTTTCGGGGGAAAGCACAAGCTTTCAAGGTTTAGGGCTTAGGGCACTAGTTGAAACTTCCCTAAGGGTCCTAACAAATTGGGGAACCTCAAAATTAAGGGTTTTTTGAGACCCCAAAGAGACCCAAGGACTCTCCCTAGGACATTCCGGACCCTCCTAAGGAGATACCTGGACCCTTACTGGGCTTTTAAGTAACCAGGGAGAAAAAAGTATAAACTTTTATTTCATAAGGGTTCCTTTAAGAAAAGAAGTATTAAAGTATGGTACTTCAAAGCCCAGCTTAGGGTTAGGGTTTTTAGTGTACGCCTGCGGATTTCAGAGCTCAGGGCTTCTCAGCTCCGTGCTGTGCGGTTCCTGGATAGGCGAATTGAATTTCTACTTCCAGCAGCACTTGAGAGTTTCCGAAATTTAGGGGTAGCTTATTTTGGGGTCCTTATAATAAGGATCCTACTATTTAGGGTACTATATTAGGGTCCCCTATTTTCGGAAACTCCCACTTGAGAGTTTCCGAAATTAATGGTAGCCGGTCTCGGTTCCGCGTCCCCTCGCGTTTAGGAAACTTTCGTGTGAACATGGCCGGCTTCTTCCTCCTCTAGGTAGGTGTTCGCGCGCGCAAGCAGTGTATATTATGTTGTACTCATTGGACCTCCAGCAGAGTAATATCACTTATCCCTAGAAGTGTGGGAGCGGTTTAGGAGAGCAGTAGCTTCAAAAAGATACCAACTCGAATCGTAGGATTCATATCGTGAAAATGCAACAGGGGGAGACTCCGCACATGAGTGTGTTGACCACTACAGCCTATAGACAGCGACTGCAACCGCCGAGATTCCGGCTCCTTTACTACGCAGAAAGGCACAACAGCACTGGTTTGGAGGTTTAGGCTTTAGGGATTTAGGGGTTTGGGGGTTTAGGGGTTTAGGGATTTAGGGGTTTAGGGGTTTAGGGTTTAGGGGTTTAGGGTTTACAGGTTTAACCCAAAACCCTAATTCCTGAAGCCTAAACAAGGTATACCTGCAGCTACTGTCATTCAGGGGCTGCTTTAGACTCACTACAGTGTAATCTGGAGGAGTTTGGAATGATTGGATCTAGAAATCTAGTTCCCTGAACATCTCCACATACTGAGCCAATAATCCCTGCACCAAACAACTCAATAGCTTTTCAGCATAACACAAACAAAACTTGAATGCATACACTCACGGCCTCTACATAGCCTGGCTAAAGAATGATCTGCAATAATCTTGGGCTCTCTGGACTTCGCCTAGCATGCTGCTGACTTTCGGCATTAGCCCCCTGTGACGCCAGTGGCCTCAACCTGCGACGTGGGAATGGGAAGCACGATCGTCAGAACATTCCTCAGCTGAAGCTTGAATAGGCTCCCTCTGACAGCCTCGGAAACACATTAAAGGCATTGGTTGCAATATGTTGTAAGAAGGCAGGCCTGCGTTGCGCTTCTTGTGTCCTGGGAGACTTCACTTCAACCCGAAAGCTTTATACCCGGAAGCCCTAAACCCAAAACCCGCAACCCCTGAAACCCGAAACAATAAACTCCTAAAGTGCGACTAAAAAAACCCTAAAACCTAAACACACCCGAACACCCTCAGCTCTAATGTAGGAACCTACTTAAGAAGTCCTGGGCCTATAGCACCAAAATGGTAGGATTCATACAAGGAACCCTAATAAAAGCCCAAGGTTTCTTAACCAGGTTTCTACATTACACCCAAGAAACACTAAACCCTGAACCCTATGGATCCCTTAAAGGAGCCCTATATCACCCTTTGAAGGAACCCTGTTCATACATCATTAAACCTTAAACCCGAAACCGTAAAGCCGTGCGATCGAAAGTTAGGCTCGGCACCCTCTCGCCGGAAGCTCCTTCACCTTCGGAATATCCTCCAGGCTTTCCACGGTTTAAGGGTTAGGGGTTTGGGGTTTAGGGGTTTAGGGTTGGGGGTTTTGGGTTTTTTGGTTTTTGCTTAGAGTTTAGGGTTTAAGGTAAGGCTTTCTCATAGGAGTTTGAGTTGGGTGTACTTAAGGTATCTGTTCAACTGATGGGGCTTTACAGGGTTTGAGGGAAAGTGTGTTACAGGGTTTGAGAGCAAACGTTCTGTTGAGGTTGCACAAGGAAAACCCCAAACACGGGGCTGGGATGCAATGCTGCCAGGTCTGGGGTGTAGGAATACCCTCCGCACCTACGAGAGACATGGCTATGTTAAGGTTTGGGCATGGGGTTTCAAACAGCACCAGTCATGGAACCACAAGGGAAGCCGTCGACTGTCTACTGACTGCTAAAGGTCCAGCAGCAAGCCTGAACCCCTTAACCCTAAACCCCTAAACCGTTCAGGGTTTGGCGTCCGCACGATACAACGCCAACAAAACCTTGCTGGCAGGGCGGGCCCATGCTTCTTGGAAGCTACAGTACAAGAACAAGGAGCAAGCAGGTTATTGAGGGGCCCTTGTTCAGGAGGCATGCAGCACTTAGGGGTTAGGGTTTAGGGCACCCAGAGCCCAAAACCAACGGGCTTGAGCATACCGAAAGTATCCGCAAGCCATAACATGTATAAGTAACTCGGACCACTGAACACTCCTACATTTTAGACCCTTGGGCCCTAGACCCTAAAACTTAAATCCAAACGCCAAAGCCACAAAACAAGGCCCTAAAGCCTTGGAATGCCTTGGGGGACAACATGAGCCCGTGAGCACTTAAGTTACATAGACCTACTTGTCGGGTATCATGGGGAACTAAAGGTTAACCGTTTTGGTTCTATAGGGATTAGATAGGGACTATACTACCCAAAAAAGGTTAAAGGTTTCACCTACCCGACGACTAGGTTAGACTGTGTTGGAGCTCTCAAAGTGTCACTGGTTTTGACGTATTTGGGCTTCAGCCAGTGTCGGCACTGTCTCCCCAGACACCCAAGCCCAAAAGCCTCAAGACAGTCCTGAATCCCGTCTTTTGCAGCCCTATCAAGTCCGACAAGGAGTAGAGTTTGGGCATTCGGGTGTCGATTTGATGGCTGTGTTGCGGTCCTCCTGCTGGGCTTGCGGGATGACCGTGGTGTCCTCGGCTGGTGAACGGCGACCCCGAATACCACCGGATGGCTGGTAGGCTGACCCGTCCTCATACACTTCTCTAAACCGTAGAAGTGCAATCTTCGTCCCACCCGGACAGCCACGCGCTGACTCCCTAAGAATGCTTGAACCCTATTGAACCCACGTTGCTGAAATGCGACCACGTATGACAGGTTTAGCAAACATAAGTGCTTGGAGGGTACTGAGATCTGTAACACCCAGCGCACAAGGAGTCATGGATTGCTGCTATTCATGCGATGTAGTGCCTGAAAAAGATGTGCAGACGGTGCAACGATGTCCCGACTAATTATGCAAGTACAAACAGCGGAGCTTCAGCTCCTGGGGCTTTTGAGAGCAGGAACACGCAAAGCCGCCACCTAATGCCCCCCTTGGTGCCCAGAGGGTCCATATAGACTACCATTATGGAATGAGCTCCCGAAAAGCATAAGAAGGACGGTCTTTCGGGCGTAATAATGGTAGTATACATGGACCCTCTGGGGTTTCAACTTTTGAAGGTCTGCAGAATCAAATCTTGATGTATTTTGCCCCAGACACTAAGTCCTCTAAGCCGTAAACCCGGATGCCCTAAACTCTAAACCCTGAACCGTCAACCCTGGCCTTACAATACCCTATACCTTAAACCCTGAAACCCGAGATCTTCCGACCCGATACTTCCACATCTCCGCGAGCGTCTATTTTGTAGTTGAACCCCCAAAAGTTTGGGGTGTAGGGTTCTTCATGGTATAAATGAACCTAGAAGGTTTAGGGTTTATAAAACTGGGAGCCCGGATAATGTACCTTAAAGTCAAGATAATGATGTTCCGACTTTCTGACTTTTACGTTGTAAGCCAATACCGACTAGACGCAAAAGATATTGGGGTTCAGGTTTTATAAGGGGGTTCAAGGTTTGGGGTTTTAGGGACGTACAGGGTTTAGGGGAGGGCCCTAAAGATCGAAAATAGTTTCAGAAAGCCGCACAGGAAGCCTAGCGGACACACGCGGATGCAAGTCTGCACGACCTCATGAAGAAGCCTCTAGACACCATACATGCTTCGGGACATGACAAACCGCCCTAGGAAGCCCTAAACCCTCTAAAGCACATGGCCGTAAGAAGAACCAACAGGCAACGCCGAACATACTCAACACTTAAAGCTTTCTGAAATTACTCTGAACTCGTTTTAACTTCTGCCTTATCGTTGAGAAGTCGCTTTGGGTCTCAGCGGCATCCGAGAAGACAGGAATCCCCTTAAAAAGGGAAACCCTTAAAGGAGCCCCTTGTGGTCCCTAAACCCTAAACCCTGAACCCCACACCCTAAACCCTAAATCCCAAACCCCAAACCCAAACCCCAAACCCTAAACCCCCAAAACCCAAGACCCTAAACCCTACACCCTAAACCCCAAACCCTAAACCCTAAACCCTCAACCCTAAACCCTTAAAGGAGCTCAGCGGCATCCAAGAAGAAAGTGTCATCATAGGGCGCTCCCAGGCGGCCCCCGAGCGAGTCGAGGTACGTCCTTTGAAAGGACCCTTTTAAGGGTTCTAAAAGGGATCTATAGGGCTCCTTTAAAGGGATCCATAAAGGTTCTATAAGGGATCTCGAGGATCCTTTCATGGCTCTAGGCCCTTTTTACGGTTTAGGGTTCAGGGTTTAGGGGTTCAGGGGTTTAGGGGTTTCGGGTTTAGGGTTTGGGTTTAGGTTTAGGGTTTAGGCTTTTGGTTTAGAGGTTTACGGTCTAGGGCTTAGGGTGGGCTTAGCTTAGGGTTTAAGGCTGGAGCTTTAAGCACTTCCAATGTTAGGGATCCGTTTTAAGGGACACCTTTCAGCTTAGGGCGGCTTAAAGATCTACTTACAAGGTGTCATTCAAGGGCGACACCCGGATGTTCAGCGGTTGGGCTGGAAGTTGAGATACCCTTAATTCAGGGACACATTAAGGTTGAGAGAGGGCGACCAGGTTCGGGCTGCAACACGCGGCATCCCCGTGGGATGAAGGAACTGCAGCCGTCGCATGTCGTTGCGGCGGTGCTGGAGTGCCTGATGGAATTTTCTGCGACAGCTTCTGCTAAGTTGGACCGTTCCAAAGGTTCAATAACTTCCAGGCGCGAGGCTCTGTTTTGGCGTAGCTGTCGTCATGAGGCCCGCACTTCAAGGCGAAGGAGTGCAGCAGCCGCCATTCATGCTTTGCCGCAAAGAGCCTGCTTCGGAGGCCTTTCGACTGTTTTGAACAGCACGCTTGCGCTTGCGCTTGCGGACGAAGCAACATCAAAGCCGCAATTCCGCATTTGCGCAACCCATATGTCTGCAAACTCTACACCCTAAACCCTACACCCCTAAACCCTAAACCCCTAAACCCTAAACCCCTAAACCCTAAACCCCTAAACCCTAAACCCCTAAACCCTAAACCCTGAGAAGGTCCTAAGAACTTCCTGTCACGCTCGGGGACTACAAGGGAGAAGCCTGGTTGGCTCCTTGTGATCTCACAAACTACGGCTCGGACCCCTCAATGCTTTAATAGAGCCCTATGGTCCTTAATAGTGCGTATTTGGAGTATCTTAGAAGGTACTTGGGGGGGCCTAGGTATGGCTTGGATCCCACGATAACAAGATTTAACCGAATCACTACAATCCAGCCCTAAACCCTCAACCCTACACCCGAAATCCCGGAGCCCTAAACCCCTACAGCCCTACACCCCCTGAACACCAAACCCTAAAATTCTAGAATGGCATCCTTGAAGGAAACCTTCAAAGGAGCCCCTGAAAGGAGCCCTGGACAGATGACCAAAAAAACAAACTCTCATAGGGTCTTGTCAAGATACTCCTGCGATGGCTTCGTCCTCACCTGAGCTGAAGCGCTGAACGTCTGTGGGGATCCGGTTAAGGCTTGCAGGGCTTATGTTTAGGCTTTAATTCTTGTTTATAGTTTGTAGTATATAATAGGGCTTCCTTTCATGCAATGTTTGGAGTCTGAGGATCTCTTATGTAAGGCTTTGAGCTTCTCGGCTGACTTCTTGCTTTGCAACACGCGGTCTGCAGAAATACACTGGCACACAAAAACATCTGCAAACACTCCGAAACACTGCTAAAAGAATCACAAGGTCGATCCTATCGTAGGACATCCACGAGTCTAGGTTGGCTACTACACCCCTCCGAGCCCCTCTGCACCTAGAAGTGCATTGAAAACATAAGTCTCATCTCTCAGTGGTTTAGCATTGCATTTACCTAGAGGGTGTTACCCTACCCCTTTCTCAGGCCCCTTTCTCAGGGTTCCTAGATTTATGGTTGTAGAGAAGTAGGTACCCCCCCCCCCCAAAGGGGGTAGGGTATGACGGTATGACCCTGTAGGTAGGGTGTTGCTAGACCCCCCCAAATAATATACCCGATATACCCACTATCAAGGGCGATAAGGGCTCTGTTAAAGGGCACTTGGGGGGTCTAAAAGTTTGTGGCTCAGGATTTAAGAGTACAAGGTGTAGGGTTTGGGAGTTGTGGGTTTTGGATTTAGAGTTCAGGGGGATTCGTGAACTAAAGTTCCGGGACTTGAGGCGTAGGATTCAAGGGATGCATTCGAGGCGCAATTGAGGTACGGTTGTTCGCCAGGAAGGGCAGCCACACTTTGACGATGTTCTCCTGCCTGCCGTTCAATTAATCAACATCATTAAGCAAAGCTCCAAAACACCAGACTACGTCCAAACAACTCCCGACAACTAACTGCCATACCTGGTTCCATAATGAGAAATCACCGTGCCAAGCCTCAACGCTACCTCCTGAAATATAGTGCGTAATATAGGGGCCTAAACAATTACCTATACTCTTGTGGTGGTTCCTCAATATAATTATAGCACTATGGGACCATATTCTACTTGTTAAGGCCCTATTTTACCCCCCCACCTCCTCAAGACACTGAATCCTAAATCCCAAGCCCCACAATCCTCCAATACCAAAAACTAAAACCCTAAACCCTAAAACCCGGAGCCTTGACCGCATGGCCGAATTAAACCTTGAGACCGTTCCAAACCTTACGGCCCCAATCCCTCGAAACCTGACAAACCACCAAACCTGAAAGCTGGCTCCTCAATCATCTCTAAACCCCAAACCCTGTAACACTGAAGCAATGCTCAACACTGAACGTCGAAAACGACGCAAACAACGACTAGACATAGCAGCACAAGTCCTACGAATGCACCCCAAAAACACGAAAAAAGCCTGGAAATCAAAAACTCCCCGACTCTCTGGACCCAAGCCTTGTATTGCGTGTATGTTCGCGAATCACTAGAAACTTTCTGAATTCCCTTGATGCTCTGCAGTAGGCAGTGCCCAACACCTTCAACCCAAACCCAAATCCTTAACCAAAAGCCGCAAAACGCAAAGCCACGGACCCTGCTTAGAAAATGATTTTGTAAAGTCACACGTATCATACCCACTACTGTTGATGATATAAACCCTGCATTACCTTAAGGACCCTAAACTATGGGAATTATGGTGCATTCCCTACTACGGGTAATGCAGGATTTATACCATCAACCGTATGGGATTCGTTTCGGGTGCTTACAACGCTACTTGCTAGTCCCCCGACACTCCAAGTGAAATTCCAAGCTTCCAAGTGGCAGTACCCCTTAAACGAGTCCTCATTCAACACGCGTGGAGCCCTTAATGAACATTAATGAACCCTAAACCCTAAACCACACTGAGGAACCCTTACTTGAAGGAACCTTGAGCTTGAGGAATTCCTGAAAGAAAACGAATCCTTACAAGCCGCGGTCGGAGCCCCTAATGAACCCTGCCAGGGACAAGTACGAACACTTGGGGACCCCTGCGGAACCCTTAGAGCCCCTCCAGGGAATCCTTGCAAAAGCACTCTTACAGAACACTTTCAGAGCTCTTAAGGAATCCTTAGAGGTTCGACAAGGGTTCCTAAAGGGTTCCGATGAAGCATTTCTTGAAGGTTCCCTTTCAGAGTTCCCTTGAAGGGTTCCATGTAAGGGCTCCATTCAAGAGTTTCCCTTGAATTCGCTCCTTTCAAAGGAGTCTTTTGTAGATCCCTTTCATTAAAGGAGCCGCTAAGGACCTGCCTGTCAAGGAACCCTTTTAGAGCCCGTTAAAGGAGCCCTTATCGAGCCCTGCCCATGAAGGAATCCTAGAGGAACCCGTATAGATCCCCTTTAAGGGAACCCGTTAAAGGAGCCCGGCGAGCCCTTCAAGGGAGCCGTGAAAGGATTTATAGATCCCTTTACTCTCTTCTTCAACGACCGAGCACCAAAAAGTTCAAACTTTCTAAGATAGAGCTAATATATACTCACTGGCCCAAAACCCAAGGAAATACAAGTTGAGGCTTTCAGAGTCGACTACTTTATAAGAACCCCGAAAGTTGAAAAGTTGAGTTAACAGCCAACAAGTGTAAGGCCAAAAAGTTTAAAGTTCCCCTGTTCACTATCTAAGTTTTAGCCGTGGAGGCTCCGGCCTCAAGGACAAAGGATGCGTTGGGTTTTCTGCCAGAGAAGGTCGGACGAAGAGACCTTTTCTTGGTAGCATGCGATTCAGGGTTTTGGCGTTTTGGGATTTAGTAGTTCAGGGTTTAGGGTTTAGGGGTTTAGGGCTTCAGTGGTGAGGGTTTAGGGATATAGGGCTTAGGGACTTGGGTTCAGAGTTTTGGCTTAGGGCAGTTTAGGGTTTGAGATTTAGCCATTGGTTGCTTTCAGTTGTGCTGTTTATTGTGTTCTTCTCTTTTACCTAAGCACTACATATACCAAACACACCTCCTCTCAACTACAGGGACGTAGCAGCCTGCTGCAATCCAAAATCACCCCATGAGGGTGGTAAAGAGATAATCTTCGGAAAAGGTCCTAAGGACGTGTATCGGGGATGCTTACCCGAACCATGATAGTAGTTCCTACTGCAGGAACCCTACTTTCTACTATTGATGTAGGTCGTACGTACTTAAGAACCTTTGAGCTTATAATCCTGAAGCCCGAATCGCTGAACAAGAAAACTGAAGCCTGAACCAGAAAACTGAAAGGTGCGGGAAAAAACTAAGCCTAAACCCTATATCCGAATCCCTGAACCCGAAAACTGAATCTCGAGGCGGCAGCTCTTCCGAACGACATCTACGTTCCGTTTTCACGACCCTCGAAGTATCCTAACCCTGAGGGTCCATGTACCCAGATAGTAGATATTTTGGCCCTGAAGTACCTATACAGGAACTCTACTATTTGCTTAAGAAACCCCCAAAAAATAAAAATAATAATCCCTATATTTACCCCATAAGGAATACTTTTTTTATTTTTGGGGGTTCTTAAGCAAATAGTAGAACTACTTGAAGGCCTTCGTCTATACCAAAAGGGCACATGGACCCAACAACGGTCAGGTACAGTCTTTATCTATGTGGGTGGTTGTCAAAATTATGGTCCCTTGTTGGGACCATAATACAGTACGGCACTTAATATTTAGGGTACCCAAAAAGGGACCCTAATTTTGCCAACCACCCATGTTGCTTCAAGAACCCCTATAGAAGCCTTCTCGAACCCCCCGACTCCTCCCCCGTTTCGTTGGATGCCCAGAAGCCGCTAACATATCCGTTGTGGTTCCGCTGTAGCTCTGGAGGGAAGCCTGTCTCGAAGTGGTATCCAGGGTGTAGGGCGCAGAGTTTGGCCATCATCCATTCATAAGAGGGTCTTACTGCTGAGATATTTTGTTTAGCTTTTTCGTTCAACGGATCAAGGCATTTTCAGAGGGGTTCAGGGATCGGGAGTCAGGGTAGGACTTACTTAAAGGATCATTGGACTTAGTATGTAGGGTTACTTACGGTTATAAGTAGACATAACTATAGTTACATTATTTATAGCCCTACTTACTGAGTCCCCTAGTCCTCCAAGTAGGGTGTCGGGATCTGCGCACCATCCGACCCTGCCTTTCTCCAAAGCCATGAACCAGCGGTGAAATGGGATAATCGCGTCCTGCACTTCACAGTCAAAGGCTCCATGTACCTTTACAGCCGATACTTAAGCCTTAAAGGGCTCCCTATATAGATACTTTAAGGCCTCAGTATATACTATATGGGCACATGGAGCCTTAGGGAGAGTCTTCCTAGGCTGTCCCTTCACGAAGCCTTTGACGAGCAGCTCAAAATAAACGGTGCATGATCACCTCAAGACCTTGGGTTCCTATAAGAGTTCTATATCAAGTTCCTATATAGGGTTTCTGTAAGGGATTCCTAGAAGGGCTTCCTTACAGGATTCCTATAATAAGGGTTGCCAGGGTTGCTACAAAGGTTCCTATGAAGGAACCCTTATAGATCCCTTAACGGAACCATTCTAGATCCCTAAAGGATACCTTGTAGATCCCTTAAAAGAACCGCTAAACCCTAAGCCCCGAAAGGAACTATACTAGATCCCTTGAAGGTTCTATGAAGGGCAAGGTGTTTGGAAAGTCTCTGCCACGGCTACAGAGGCTCCGAACTCGAGCAAGCGAACTGTCCCCTCTCCGAAAGCTCCATACGGTTTAGGGTTTAGGGTTTAGGATTTAGGGTTTATAGGGTTTAGGGTGTATAGGGTTTAGGGTTTAGGGTTTTTAGGATTCAGGGTTGAGGGTTCCGGGTTTAGGGTCCAAGCCAAGTTCATCATCTCTGCAAATAGCACGGGCTGCTATAGGGGATTGGGGTTTAGGCATTGGGGGTTGGGACTTTTGGGTTTAGTAAGTGCAAAGTAAAGTTTAGGGTTTACGGTTGACGCAAGAGGAGTAATGAACCGGCTCCCGGTGGAGCAAGCTGGCGCCAAGGCTCCGTCTTCATTTCACAATATATTCCTTATGTAGTTGAGAGAACCTGGACCTTGACGTAACCACTGTGGAACAAGTATAGACTTTTTGTTTATAATTGGTTCCCTTTATATACCAGGTCCCAAAAAAGTATTAAAGTATGGTACTCCAAAGCCCCGGAATTGAGCCCTCGTGCCACTAACCTTGGCCTCAAAGCCCTGAACCCCAAGACTTGAAGCCTAACGTGCTACCCCTTGAAACTCTGACATCCTGCCCCTCCTTAAACAGTTTAGGGTTTAGGGTTTAGTTTAGGGTTTAGGGTCAGGGTTTAGGGTTTCGTTTTAGGGTTTAGGGTTTAGGGTTTAGTTCAGGGTTTAGGGGCCTTCATAGATGCTAGAAAGCAATGTCGAACCCCATTATAAGAGAGACCTTACAGCAAGTACCCGGTAAAGCAACATAGGATCCCGCTAAGACCCTTTACACCAGAAAAGACACCTGCTAAAACAACACAGCGCCTACACCAAACCCTCTTTAGCTGTGAACGCCTCAAAAGCCTTAACCAACCACATAGAACCCCACGTAAAGCTACACAAAACCTCCTAACAACTCTAAACCCGAAACCCAAACCCTGTACAAAGGGGCCTTCATGTCTTTCGGTCCAATTATGCTATACTTATCCAGAGGCCCCATAGTAGTTCCTTTTTGGGATTAAAACCTCATGAGATTCTAAATATTAACCCCCAATAAGGAACTACTTTGGGGCCTTAGGATATCATAAGGACCAATTGTCCACCCTGTCCTGCGGAACCTGATGTACGGCAAAGATGCGCCTGCAGGTGAACCTCAAAGCTCAGACCGGTTTTAGAGTTAGGATCTATGACTCAGGGCTTGGGATTTGTGGTTTAGGATTTAATTCAGGGACTAGGAATTATAGAGCCTAGGATGTAGGGCTTAATGGCCTGACTTAGGGGTTTGGTTCAGGGTTTAAGGTGTATCAGCAAAAAGTATACCCCAAGTTGAAAGAAACCCCATGTAGTTTGCCATTTTGAACGGATCTACTTCGAGGATCATGGGTCTTAGTAAGTACCCTGAGGCTCCGAGGCCCCAAATGTTGAGGTCTCAGGCCAAGTGTTGTTGAGGGTGGACTTGTGGTTCATTTGTGTTCCACGGACGTCTTGGCTTCAAAGGTCTGCTGAGGATGGTTTTGGTTATCATTGTGTGGAGCTACATAGCATTGTCTGGATCCTTGGCAAGCGTGCATCATATGAAGCTAGTGATGATTCTGCACATGTTTCAGAACAAGCTTCTGATTTACCTAGCTCAGCTGCATTTTTGCAATGCTTCGGGCATCGTTGCTGTTCAACAAGCGACGGGGCAGCCAGAAGCAAGGCCGTGCATCCACCCCCCGCACTTATTGCTGATGTGCATGCCTGTGCAGTGCTGATCATTCATGCTGCAAGTGTCCGAGCTTTCCAATACGCAGCTTCGAAGCCTCGACTCTCGGCTAGGGTCTTCGCATGCATGTATGCGCATTGTGCATGTGCATACCGGCTAGGGCCAGCTTTCACTGAAGTGTCCACTTGTAGCAGCCATGGCAGCTATTGTTCAGCGCGAGTATACCCAACCTATGAAATACTTCTTGACCGCTGCTTGTCTAAGTTTGGACGGGTACGTTTGCCAGTCATTTTTTGAGTTGGCCAATTCGAAGTTCCAGAATCCATCGAACCAGGAAGGTGCTGAACGGGTGGTAAATGGAATCCGCCCCTTCCTGGAAGCGAACTTGCAGGACATCCAAGCTGATCCGGCAGCTTGCATACCATGATTACTTGCAATTGTGCAAAGCATGATTGGGCAGCCATCGGGTGCAATTCGTGTAAGGCTCGTGGCCTTGTGCGGGATGCTCCAGCAGGCTCTGCAAACGCGAGCAAGGTGGGGCTGGTTGATGTGTTTTTAATATATAGGTCTGCATACTAATTATGCACTTTACTTGGCCTCTCTTTATCTGAGGCTCGGGATGCTGCTTTGTGCCGGAACTTTTATCTGCTGAAGCCTTTCATCGTCAAGAGCATTGCCCCGGACATTGGCATTCCAAACTTGGGTGACTTTAAGGCTCTTGCAATTATATTGTGTTCCCAAACGATTTCAAGTGCTGTGTTCGAATTCCTCCGACAGGTTGGCCTTGTGCACCTGTCGTGTGTGTACCAGCTGCACCCGAGTGTGCGCAGAAGGGGAGGCAAAGCAGCTGTGAAGGACATCTGCTGAATCTGATTGCCTTTAATTTAGTATACGTAATAAATTGAAGCACACCTGTTGTTTGCAGGACTGGTCCTACCAGGAGGGGGCTAAGATACGGCAGTTGCTATCAAACCTCCAGCGTGTCACACGCCGCACTATTCATGCCAAGTGCCTCGCCTGGACTAGCATATAAGCAAAAATAGTCTGCCTAAAACCCCGATACCTCCAAACATGTACCATCCCAGGTCAACGAAGACTGCCATTTTGAAGAGGCTCTTTGCTGTGAAAATGGAGTGGTTGACTGAGGAGCCTTGCAAGCATGCACACATCTTATTATAATTCGTAGTAGTGTTATATATGCTATCGTGTACTAGTCTTCGAAGGTTGCAAACCCACTAAATAAAGACCCTTAAACCTTCAGCCTCAGCTCCCCAAAACCCGAACCCTGTTCAGACCAAGACCCCAAGCCCTAATAATTGTATTAGTGCAGATTTCGGATCTTGAAGCCCTGATTAATCTAGTACCGGGTTTGAGGGCTCAGGTCTTTTGCCCTGGTCGGACTGATTTTTTTCGTTCTCCAGAGCTGAGGAGTCCCTCGCGGCGGTCGAAGCGGAGAATCCCGAAAGTGGCAGTGATGCCGAGGAGCCTGAGGCGCTGGAAGACGGGGTGTCGGATCCGGAGGAGGAGGAGGAGGAGGAAGCCCAGGAAGAGAGTTCAGAGACTGCAAGCATCCAACCCCGAAATCTGGAAGGTGTAGCTGGGCTTAATGGTGTGAGAGCTTTTAACATGTGGCCCCAAAACGATCCATGACGGGTAGCTACAACGACTCAGGATCTGGAGGATGCTATGCATCGGCTGCTCTCCTCTCGATCGCTGAGCAGGGATGGAGAGGACCTAGTGCCTGGGGATTACGCAGGGCCATCAGTCATTCGACTTATTCATGGAGCTCTCGAGTTACTTGTACTTTGATTAGGTACAGACATAGTCGGCTTGTATGGCCACTAAGGATGTGCCACATCCCAAGGAGATAGAGGAGCTCAGTGAACTTGAGTCAGAGGAGTTTGCTGGCCCAGAGGCTCCCCAGTGATGATAGAACATATTTCTTTGCTCGAATGCCAGTAGTTATGTAGGATTGTTCAAGCTATGTACCCCTTAAATACATTAGATGCTCAGGATATCCCACATCCGACGGAGATTGCCGGGGAAGAGGAGCTTGCTGATCTCGAGTCAAACGAAGAGTTTGCTGGCCCAGAGGCTCCCAAGCGAAATTGTGTAGCTACCAGCTAGTGTGTGCAATTGCAAGCTATGTATACCTTTAGGCCTTAAAGTTGTACCCCAAAGCTTACTTGCTCAGGATGTCCCACATCCCATGGAGATCGTCGGGGAAGAGGGGCTCGCTGAACTGGAGTCACAGGAGTTTGCTGGCCCAGAGGCTCCCTGATGGAATACTACTCTTTAGGATCCGATTGTTTGCGCTCAAGAATCTAGAATCCTGCTGTACATGTCGGTGCTATTGCAATCAATATACTTGCTCAGGATGTTCCGTCTCCTGTGGACATGGTCGAGGGAGAGGGGCTGGCCAAACTGGTGTCGAAGGATGTTCCTAGGCGATGAACCTGAGTAAAAAGGGTCCGGTTACTGTCTGCATCAGCGCATGGCTAATCACTGTTCTACTGAGGGTCAGAAGGATCCCTTGGAGCTGATCTTGGAACAGGAGATGATCAACGCCGAGTCTCAGCGCAAAGGTCTAGTACTTCATAAAGCCTTGGTACACCAATACTTTTAATGCAATTGAGGATTGCTGTATTGCAATAGAATAGTGCTAGCTTCTGGTAATATTTTAACAAACCTCTAGGATTTCGAGATACCTGATGACAGTAACCACGGCAGCATCCCGAGCTCCTGTAGATCTTTCAGCTAAGGGGGCCAGGGACTTATCCGAGAAGGAGGCGGGTGAACCTGCACCCCCAAACTTGGACGTTTCTGGGCTACACTACAGGACAGTGTAATTGCTCTCGATGTCTGCTGTCATGTGGATATGTTGCTACTTGAGATAGTTCTTCTTAGGTCAATGGCATATATAATGATGTGCTGAGGTTGCGTCACCGGATGCAGATTTGGCCACTGTGAAGCCTCCTGCTGCTCCATCACAAGTCCCCGGGCTGAATTATTCTTGTACCTTCTAAAAGTTGAATTCCAACTAATCCCGAAACACAGCAATGATCGCCTTTGAGCTTCAGCCCAGACTGTGAACAGAACTATGACCCGAATCCTCCCATGACCCAAAAACTGTAAGCCAAGTCACTTGGACATCTACAGGTGAATGTTCCAGCGAATGCCAGTGGGAAGGCAGCGAAGGCAGCCTGGTGGCACACTTTAGTAAGTAAATGCAGTGTTCGAAGCAGTGTATAATTACAATAATATAAATACAATCCGGACCATAGTACCACCCTAAATCCCGGGCCCCAAATGATATCCCTCGACACTGAAGGCCTAGACTGCAAGCAAGCCTTGTAGCATGGGTGTGTTGCAATCATTAAACTTACTTTTAAGCATACATGTCACCAAAGCCCTAAGCCCTAACTCACCAAAGGCCTCAACCCCAAAAAACAGACTAGGATCGAAAGCCACTTGTGGCATGTGCTGCGGAGCTGCCTGCAGAGCTTCGAGATCTGCTACTAGAGGATACGAAAGTTATCGATGCAAACTCTGTGCTACCCCAGCAGCGGCAGATCAAGAAAGCTTATAAGGCTGAATGTGCTCGCAAGAAGGCTGGATTTGTTTGGAAAGTGTCATTCTTGCATGGGCAATACCTTCAACATATAAGGCTTCAGACCACTCGTTTCGCAGCAGGCTGGTGAAAAAGAGCATGAGCAGCCGCAGCAGAGCAAGGACTTGAAGCGCAAGCTCAGTGTGGCCGGGCTTGAGACCAACGACGATGTTATCACCACGCCGCCTGGTGTTTCCAGGGCCGAGCCCAACAGTGACCCATTGCAGAAGAGACGTTGCCCTTCGCGAGTGCCAGCTGGCACAAGTGCAGGGGCCGAGAGTGCAAAGGATGGCAAAGTGCGGAAGGGCAAGGGCAAAAGCAAGTCCAAGGGTGGTGATGAGGTGCTTCCATCTCCGACTGCTGTGGCGGATGCTGAGCAGAAGGGCACAGGCAAAGGTGGCAAAGGCAAAGGCCGTGGTGGCAGAGGTGGCCACGGTGGTAAGGGCAGAGGTGGCAAAGGCAGAGGTGGCAAAGGCAAAGGTGTCAATGATGGTAATAACGCAGGTCAGGGCAATGGTGATGCTGCTGCAGCTGCAGCTCTTCGAAGGCAGCAGAATGCAGTGCACAACTTGCAAGTCGTGCGCAACCTGGCAGCCAAACACCCGGACCTCCAGCCACAGGTTGGTTTCACAGGCAAGCAGCTAGGATGCACTATTATTGCAATGCTGCAAGTACAGGATGATCATTTCATCGATCTTGCATCGTTCACATGTCGAATCGTTGTGGTTCAATCTTAGGAGCTACACCGTTGCGCCACCCCGTGGCACATGCGACATCCCGGAGATCTGTCCGTTGACAGTAAGCTTGTACAGCAGTGTATACTATGTCAACCGCACTTTGAAACCCACAAGTGCCGATGCGTATGGAGCTTCGTGACTGCAAGTAGACACATGTACATGTTGCTTATATTGCAGCTTCCCCACCCTGAAAGTTGTTTCGAATCCCAGGTTGCTGTGGACCTCAAAGGTGGGTCCACTGTCTCATGGGGCAGACACGGTGGAGCTTCCAGGGCGCAGCTCGACAGCCTGCAGTGAAATTTAGTGTGACAGGAACGGGTGTGTGTCCAGCTCCGAGACTATTTGCTAAGGTGGCTTTTGGCTACCTTCTTGGCCGGATGGTGTGGTGATGTGGACCCAATCGATGAGGATGAAAATGCATCTTGGCTATATACAATACGGTTAAATATGCAATTATACTAATCAAGCATCGTAGCTACTGGGGGTTTGTAGCCAACCAAAGGCTGCAACCAAACATTGCAATGTAGCAATTCGGTGCCTTCAAGCTTAGCCCGGTACATTTTAAATCCTGAAAGACAGTAAGCCCCTAAACTTAAACCCTAAATTTATAAACTCAGCTAGATACCCTAAATCCATAAACTCAGCTAGATATGGCCAGCCCCGAACACAAAACCCGAAAGTGTGTAAATATTTATTATGCAACCCAATACAAAGCCAAAACCGAACCTCCCAACTGTCCCAACCCGTCGAACCGTCTTCTTTTGAAGGTTCCTGTGCATGTGCCATGTGTGTGTACATGTGGGTGTGCAGTGCAAATAAACCCTCATTATAAAGTATGGGAAAAAATCCCTGGTCCTTAATTCCCTGATACCCTAAACCTCTGTATGGCTACTCTATATATGGGCAGTCTACATGCAGCCAAAACCCAGAACCAGACCCGATATGCTGCATTAATCCGAGTCGCGACCCTTGCGCAGGATCTCCCGCCAGCAGCGCGAGCACCGCGATCGAAGAAGCCCAAGTCGAAGTGAGCATTTCGACATCGATGTCCAAAGCCTTGGATGAAGCAGTCTAGCTTTATAGCTCCTGAGGGTGCTGCAAGTTATATGCTTAGCTTCAGCCGGCTAGTGAGATCGACACCGTTGAACTTTCAACGTTTTGGCTGCCGTAACACTACGAAGGGCTTTAGGTGTCCGGGTTTCGGTTGTCAATTCGGTTCGATGTATGGATACCAGGATCCCTTTACGTGTGTTTGGTGAATTATTAGATATAGAGGAATGCTAGACGCCCTGGAGTGTTTGTGTGGTCCATTCGTAATTAAGCATTGAAAATTCAATGCTACGATGTTAGCATCTCGGCATTTGCTTCTGCAGGGGCTCAGGTCAGGTGGCAAAAAATACTTGTCTGAGAGGTAAAGACTTAAGCAGTCTTTCGCATGCTGTTTCCATGCATGCCATGTTGCTGCTTCTAGAACTTCGACATGGATTTGGCTTCGTGTAGCACCAATGTATATACATATGTTTCTTCCACATGAAGTTTTCGATTCAAGTTCTAGATCTATATCTAGACAATGCAATTGAGCTGTCACTAGTGGTCGTGCATGTACAGTATGCTTTGAGCATGCTAGTCCCTGCATTGCTCGGGCCCTGGGTCTTACGATAGGTCTTTGTCTTAAAGCTACTTTTCAGTTGCAAGCTCAACATGGACCGGTCCCAGCCACGTGCACGGCCATTGCAACTATCAGCTGCTACCACTGCATTGCTCTTTTTGTTGCATGTTCCCCCGATTCTGTGACGTGGCTGCATGAATACCAGTTTTGATTCTAAGTCCTCGTACTAAACGTAACTAGAACAGCAAAGCCCCATTATCCAAATGCTGCATCTCCAGGGTGCATGCAGCCGACTTCGTGGCGCAGAGGTCGGCAGAGGGACCAGATCAGGATAATGGGCATCTTCGTGTAGCCAGTCAGCATATACCTAATTGGGAGCTTGTGGCTTGAACTGTAAGTCGATCTAGCCTTGCTGTGATCAAGGATGCTCAATGTGCTGAGCTATTCTGTGGAGTTGCAGCTGTTGCAAAAGGTTTTCGAGGCTCTTCTGCACTGGCAGGATTTCTGGACATGTCTTGATGTTTGCCTGGGCCCGGGTGTACATGTGTGCACACATGTATCGCTAGGTGGTCGAAACCACAAGGCGCTCCATGGCTGACAGTAGGTCCGGTGTTTTGATGTCTAGAGTCTAGACTTTTGGATTGCAAGTGTGAGTGCAATTGAGGCTGACATATGATCGAACACGCTACAGCGACCAAAATATGGACACAACACTGGGTTTCCTTGTGGCGATCCTGTATGTTTTGCGTGTTAAGCCGAAGGGCTTACTGTTCCTGGGAGTCCCTTGCTGTAGCTTCAGTTGGGTAAGCTCCTCCAAACACTGCCGAAGTGTTTACCAACCCTTCGGTGACACCCAGCATGCTTTCGTTGTCGAGGGAAACAAGCTGTGTGCCCGCTCGGTGCTCCTGGCACTTCTGGGGATGGCCAGGGGTGTGTTTTACTTTGTGGAGAACCCAATGCGATCGGCGATATCCTTCTACCCGTACATGAAATACCTTCTTTCCCTTCGGCAACTGGATAGCAAGCTGATGCAAAGCAGTATTGCTGGATGGTGCCCTCGAGTCATTAGCAGTGCTTCATGGGTCTGTTGTCCAGACTATGTTGAGCTCCCGAAACACCTTAGATATGGGTTCCATTTCAGGTGGATGGGTGTCTATGGACACTGGTGCTGCAAGCCGAGTCTTGGAATCAGCAACTGGTGCGATGCTTATCATCAACTTTCGAGCAATGATTACATGTGGCTTTCATGATGAGTCATGATCAATGATGTTGCTCATGCTGAGTCCGTGGTCGATGAAGCTTCATATCAAGCTTACTGCAGACAAGCGCCAAGAAATACGCGATCGAGCTGCTGCAATGAACAAGAAAACCGTTACTCGACATGTATGTCAAAGAAGTGGGAAGAAACGAGTGAGACTCAGCTGCAGGCATGTAATATATCCCTATACTATCATTTTAAGATGTGTACCACTATGGGCTATTAGACCCTAAAGATCCCTATTAGGACCCTATTAAGGGTAGATTAATAAGGTACCCTTAAGGTCTAATAGCCCATGGTGGTAACTTATAATCTAAGCCCATGAATATGCAGGACGGGTGCCAGAGACCTCGCCGCATCCGCTGCATACCCAGCGCAGTTCGGAGCCAAAGTGGCGGAACTTCATGATGAGCTGGTGCCTCGGATCATGATATATGAGTTTCAGACTAGACCTCCAGGTGCGGGTAGGATCTCTCATGGGAAGAGCTTTGAGTGTTTAATATTTTGAGATTAGGGATCTAGCTGGGCTTCTGTGTACAGGGATGCTGCTATGGGGTGTCCATGAGGCTTTGGCACGGGTCATGGATTTAGGGTTTGTGGGTGGTGGGTTGCTATTTCAGGTGTTCTTGGAGGTTATTATTCGGGCCTCGGCTGTATTATTTGATTCCGGGCTACATCGGCCAAAACGAAGTGGTTGGGGTTCATGGCCGGAAATGTTTAAGTATGGGTTGTGTTTAGGTCCTCGGCAATTTTGGGTGTAGTGCTAGGCTCCTGCTCAATTAGCAAAGGCTTTGCGGGTCTAGCATGTCTATAAATATAGAGTGTGCTGTGTCCCGGGTTTCGACAAATGCTGAGTATATATGTATATATGTAGGTTTGGGGGTGTGAGCTTTAGCCCTTTGAGCTTCAGAGGTTGTAGTTATAATACTAGGTCAAAAATAATTCAATCCTCCTTTCTTGAGGTATCGACGGGTCAAGTTTTTGTTCAGGGTCTGAGAAATATTATTAGTGTCATGGTGGGCTTACCTTGTTGGGTTTCGGGATGTGCGGCATTATGCTCTTGTGGGTCTGAGATACTACTGCTAGGCTAGCATAGTATATATTATACTAAGATCATGAGTTTAATGCTGGTGCTAGCTCTAATAAGCTAAATATCTAGGAGATCCAGGGCTTTCAGGGTATGCGCAGTCCGGCTGGTCCGGCTTTGGGGCCTGTGGATGGGGCCTAAACGACTGTGGGCTGACACGGTCGACAGCCCTCCTGAACTCCAATGGAGAACACATGGGGCCTGTGTCCAGACACCGCAAACGGCCAAGGACTTGGACTTCTTTCTCCAGACGTCGACGCACTATCCAGTCACGGAGCATTGATCATGCTCGTTCTTGATCATACACGACTGCTCAACTCGACCAGACGTCTGCTTCCAGTGCGACGATCTCCGTGTGTGCAAACACTACTGGCATGGCAATGACAGATCGGAAACTATTGGGGTTCCCCCCCCTCCCACCCACAAGTTCGAGGATCCAAACCAGGGGCATACTTGTAGGATCGAACATCTATAGCAAAATAAGCATGTTTGCCCAGTATTAGGACTGCAATTGGGTAAGATGGTTCCGAATACTAATGCATGTTCAAATTACAAGTACAGGACTTGTGCTTTTCATTTTTAGAGCTCTTGTGATCGGGCTACTTGTAATTGAGGAGCTGGGAGCTTATTAGGGTTCATAGAAAGTGGTTTCTACAGAATATACAGTATAATTATATATAGTTATTATCATATTACTCATATTCCCCTGGGCCTCACATTTGGGTTCACTCGGGTTGAGATCCTGATAAGCGCGGAAACCCAACAGCCAATCAACCTTAATCCCATGACCCTTCCTATAATCGCACAACATGTGTGACTTGGTGCCCGATCCAGAACACTGCAACATTAATGGCAACCCTGTGTCTAGCTATAAGCCCTACTCCAGAGCCTTTATGCCGGGATGTAAAATTCTAAGCCGAGGCTCGGAAACAAGGCCAGTGCCAAAAGCCTTGAGGGTCCACAGATAGGGTCAGATTACTACATGTACATGCTGTTCAGGTTGAAAGGCAGTGTGCAGCTATGTGATGTGGGGTGCTCGGGTTTAGGTGCTAGCTGTGCTTGGGGTCTAGGGGACTTCGATTCTGAGCTTAGTGGTAAGTGGCCTGGACTCTACGTATATGATACAATGATCACGAATCTTTGCAGAGTAGCATCATGAACGCTGTTTTAATTTACTGAGACCCGGAATGCCTCATGAAATCGACTGCTCTACATAAGCATGTGCTGAAATAAGACTCCATGCCGTATGGGTGCATCGGGTTCCGGATAATCTTTTCGGGTGAAATCGGGGCCCACTACTAATAATTGACACACCCTTGGCCAGGGCAAGGATGTCCTTGTGCAATAATATTAGAAATATATAGTTAGCTGTATATATTATTTAAAACATGTAAA